ATATATATACATATATATATACATATATATATATACACATGAGAGAGAGAGTGTTATTAATTTTTTCATTGTTCATAACAAGGTTTGGCATTTTTGTTGTATCTGTTTTCCAGGTGAGGACACAATGACAGGTGATGGGGGAGAGTATCTAAGAGCAGAGGACCTCCGTGAGCTGGGAGATGACTCTCTGCCAGGACATTATCTAGATGGCTTCAATTACATGAGCCACAACTTGGACAGGTCAGAAACAGCACACACATATTGTATTTGACAAACATCTAAATTTGCTCACAGCAAACCTTCCTGATCTGCTGTTAGCCAAGTTCATCATCATAAGGAATACCTAAGTAATGCAGATATATACAGAAAAGGTCTCAGAAGATTCACCTTGATTTTTCATCAGGCCCCAACACACTCCCATTCACCAAAGTTTCCATCAAAGAGAAGTTCTCATTGAAGATCTGCTTACAAGTCACCAGGTAAGCGTAGTATCCGTAATTGATGTTGTATTGATGTTGACATGGTGAGAAAGTACCCTTCAATCTAACCTTCAATAAAGTATCTTTAGACACTCGAGGTGAGTCCAACCAGCCTGCTGATGCTTGTTGTTCTTTAGGTGTCAACACTGTCTAGAGAGCATGAAAAGGACTCATTCCGTCTGAGCTGGGGTGCTGAACATCTTGATAATGTTGTGCTGTCCTCCAGTCTGCTACATTCTGGGTATAAACACACACAAACACACACAGAGAAAAACTCACACTCCTTTCTTTCAGAGAAAATCCGAATGTTGGGACTTAACCCAGTTGCAAACTTAACATACACATTCCCATTATGTCTGGAAATACTGAGGGTTTTTTTAAACCCACAATTTATAAAATTCACAAGATGTCATAAACTTTTTGTGGACTTGCATTAAATCAGCTTAGGGTGCACACTTTATCCAAATTTCTTTAGTAAATTATCCACAATCAAAAGCAGAATTGTCTTTATTGTCACTACACTCAGGTATAGTTTACTTTTACATGGCGTCTCTTATAGAAATAAATACATTAAGCCCATCTTTGGAAATTCTACCAACCTGTTTATGGTAGCAGTGCCCTCTAAAGGCACAGTGACTTCAAAGTAAAATCAATTTTTTTTTACACTTGTAGCATTTTAATTTCAGAGTGAGCTTGGACATTAGAATTCAGACTAAAGGCTTCATCTTTATACACAAAGGTGTACATCTTGGATAAACAGGCTATGTGGGCATTTCTAACTGGATCTTCTCATTTGCATTTTGCTTTGTGTACAGTATGTGCAGCAGCATGTCAAAGGATCAGCTGACATTGATTTTTTTTAATGATTTACTTATACTCAAAGCATTATTCTGCCATTGTTGTGTATTTTCTGGTTCTAATTTAGTTTACTTGCTGATAAAGTCACCAAAGTTTAAGACACAAAATGGCATCTCGGTGCTTTGCAAGCCTTCATTTCAGTAAATCTTTCTCCTGTTTGCAGCTGTCCTTCAGCTTATATACCTCCTGCAACAAATTACTGACTGTTCTGCTGCTTGTGCTGGCTAATGCACTACTTCAAGGGTTGTCATTATATTTTGAAATAGATATTCCATCTTTTACATGCCCTTATTTTTTCTGGTGTACTTTTGGTGTATTTTTCATACTTTCTCATGTGTCTTTTCTACTCCTTTTATTTTTGCTGCTGTGTAATTATCTGTCTGGTCAGGTTTTCTCACTTTTACTCATTCTTTTTTCTCTCTTTCTCTTTTGTTTATTTTGTTGTTGCTTCGATGTGCATTCTCTTATCTTCTCTGTGTTTGTGACTCTGTGTGTGTGTGTGTGTGTGTGTGTGTTGTTTTTGTATTCTGCTTCTAGCCGTTCCTCACCATGCCTAGACCATGACAACAGCAGGTGAAGTCTTTATTTTGTCTATTTTCTTATCTCCTTTGTGCCTTTACTTCTTTTTCTTTGTCACTTTTGAATGATTTTCTCATTTCCATCCTGTTTCTCTGCTTTATTTCATAATGAATGCCCTTACATTACCTGAAATAACCTGACATAACCAGATTTTTTTAGTGCAGCTCTAGCTGGCTTTGCCCTGTTTTTAATGCAATTTAATTCTATCAGTTCATAATGCAACCTGTGTCCTGACCAGAATCTTGCAAGTTAAAAAATTAAAGCAGAATAACACCAAAAAGTGTTTCTCCAGGATAAAGTGATATTTATTGAGACCTATTTGTTATTAATGTCTCTTCTCAGGTTACAAAAATAGCCTTTTCTTTTACCTTTACTTGATTCAGTTGCCTTGTCAGCATGGAGATTTTGCATCTTTATTTGTTTGAATGTCTAGAAATCAATTCATCCATTTCTGGTGCCTTTTCTTTAGCTTCCTGGTCAGCTTTATGGTAGATGCCAGAGGTGGAGCTATGCGTGGTTGCCGTCACAATGGTTTGCGAATTATTGTCCCACCAAGAAAGTGCTCTGCCCCGACACGGGTGACTTGCAGGCTGGTGAAGAGGCATCGTCTGGCCTCTATGCCACCTATGGTAGAGGGTGAAGGGCTGGCTGGTCGCATTATAGAAGTGGGACCCACTGGAGCCCAGTTCTTGGGGTAAATTTGGTTGAGTGTGCGTGTGTTTGTGTGTGTCTGCGTGCATCTACTAACAGTTTGTGTACTTGCTGGTGGCTTTGTACTATCTGGTATAAGTGTGTTTCAGTAGTTGTGTGGTGTGTTCATACTTTCTTCTTCACTCCCCCTCTGTGCTGCGTATGGATCAGTAAGCTCCACCTACCTACAGCTCCACCCCCTCTGAATGAGGGTGAGAGCTTGGTCAGTCGCATCCTTCAGCTGGGTCCTCCAGGAACCAAGTTCCTCGGGTAGGACCATGTGAGGGTGATACCCAACCACCCTCAAATCCTGGTTACACGCCCACCCGTGTTTTTCCCTTGTCCTAAAATTAGAATTTTTTTTTTTAGTTTTTCATGATATATATATATATTAATTATTATAATTTCTTTTTGTGGTGCTTCTTTTCTTTCTTTGAAGAGAAGCACAGCTTTACCACCTGACCTGTTATCTTAACCTGTTGAGTTTTCTTCATGCTTCCCACAAGCACCTATCTCCCCAATCATGTTTCTAGTTGGATTCTGGTCCTGATGTGAAATAGATGTTTATTTGTTTTTATGTTCATACTTTGTGTTTTAAAATTAATTTTAACTGAGTTTTTATTGTTTTCTTTCTTCGTAAACTCATTCACATGTCACCCTAAACACTATGCTATCATTGATTTTTCTCTGGAGTTAGTGCTGAAAAGCATTAATTAGCATTAGTCCAATTTGTATTTGCTTTTACCTTGTCACACCTTTTAGGCCTGTGATTGTAGAGATCCCCCATTTTGCTGCTCTGCGGGGCACAGAGCGGGAGCTAGTGATCTTAAGGAGTGAAACAGGAGAGAGCTGGAAGGAACACCACTGTGACTTTACTGAAGAGGAACTGAACCAGATACTTAATGGCATGGATGAAAGTAAGGGATCTGAAGTGGCCTGTGATGTATAACCGTGATCGATAGGTTGATATCTCAAAGCATTTTATGTAAAACAATACATGAATGCCATAAAACGAGCAACACTAGAACAGAAGAGAGTTGTCTCATAGATTTTAAAATGCTAGTATAATAATGTGAAGCACAGGACGTAAATAATAAAGGGAAAAAAACAAAGCACTGACTTTATGCTTTCTTTCACAGAACTTGATTCCCCTGAGGAACTTGAAAAGAAAAGAATATGTCGCATCATCACCAGAGACTTCCCACAGTATTTTGCTGTTGTGTCAAGGATAAAGCAGGACAGTCATTTGATTGGTCCAGAGGGCGGGGTCCTCAGTAGTACTCTCGTGCCCCAGGTCCAGGCTGTATTCCCTGAAGGAGCCCTTACTAAGAAGATTAGAGTTGGGCTTCAGGTGTGTACATTCCTTGACTGGTATACCAACAGAATATCCAAATTATGGCTATGAAGAAAAAAAATATGAATACATATTACTACATATCTTGCCCCAGGCTCAGCCTATTGATGTTGACATGGTGAGAAAGATTCTTGGTAATAAAGCAACGTTCAGCCCAATTGTCACATTGGAGCCAAGGAGAAGAAAGTTCCACAAACCCATCACAATGACAATCCCAATTCCCAAGACCTCCAATAGTGACACCACATTCAGTGGGGAGACCCCGACTTTACGTTTGCTTTGTAGTATTACAGGTAAGTATCTATAAATAAAACCCTTTGTTTTAGAAAGAAAAAATCTTGGATGGCTTTCAGGCACACCTCATTGGATGACATATTGAAATGCTCCCGTGAACATCCTAATTTATTGTTCATGTTGTATTTGTTGCTTGTGCAATTGCTGTTTTTTTTCCATAATTTTACTAAGATTACTATGTTTAAAATCTTAATATAAAGCTCTTTAGTCAATCTTTGATGTTTTTCTTTGTGTGCTATTAAAAGAAATGAAGTGATTTAATGGACGTAATTTATCAGAACTTCGTGGTGGTGGATGTATCTTGTCTTAAGTCCATTAAAAAGACAAATGTTGTCTGAAGATTAAAAAATATTGAGTGAACTGTTTTCAGAGGTTGGGTAACAAATCATCGGTTTACCTTTTAGGTGGTACCACTCCTGCACAATGGGAGGACATCACCGGCTCCACGCCTCTCACTTTTGTTAATCAATGTGTTTCCTTCACCACGAATGTGTCAGCAAGGTAAATCCTTTATTTGAAAGTTATAAACATTTATGCTTAAATTTTACCTGGTGATACTTACCTAAAAGTGTCATTCATTTGTAGATTCTGGCTGATAGACTGCAGACAGATCCAGGAGTCTGTTGGTTTTGGCACTCAGGTCTACAGAGAAATCATCTGTGTCCCATACATGGCTAAGTTTGTCATTTTTGCTAAGACACTTGACCCCATTGAGGCTCGCCTACGGTGTTTTTGCATGACAGATGACAAGATGGACAAAACCTTGGAACAGCAAGAGAACTTCACTGAAGTCGCCCGCAGCCGAGATGTTGAGGTGCAGTGTAATACTGGGGAATAAATAAGGCAAATCAAATTGTGTGCACAGGTTTATCTAAAGAGGGTTAGACAGTAATTGAGAAAAGTAGGTCGATGTCAATTAATGATGCACTTGGTTAAGTGGGTATTTAAAGATTTTAAATTAGACGCAGGTTATTACTGACTGATTTTTATTAATATTGGTTCTTGTTCATTTCTGGAAAGAAATTGAATAATATTGTCCAAGAATTTTTGTTTCTTTTGAGCCATGGAAACATTTAGATTTGTCATATCCTGATACAGGTACTAGAGGGGAAACCTATATTTGCTGACTGCTTTGGAAACCTGGTGCCTCTTACCAAGAGTGGGCAGCACCATGTGTTCAGTTTCTATGCCTTCAAAGAGAACAGACTGGCCCTCTTTATTAAAGTATGACTTTAAATCTATTAAAATATATAAAATGTTTACTTTTTTACTCAGAAATTCACAAATCTAAATATATGCAAGTCAGAGACGTATGTTTTTTTCCAAATATGAGCAGATTCGAGACACAGCACAGGAGCCATGTGGTCGATTGTCTTTTACCAAGGAACCACGCACGTACCGTAGTCTTAATCTCAATGCAATCTGCAACCTAAACATCACCCTTCCACCATACTCAAAGGTCAGCTTTTAAATATTTTATCATTTATGCTAGGTGATTTTAATTTTAACTTTGAAACTGCCGCATTGCTGATTTCTCCTCATTTTTATTCTTTTATTTAGGAGTCTGATTCAGACCAAGATGGAGATGATGAGGTAAATAAAGTTTGTTTGATTTCAGTCTATAGCAAAAAACCTAGATGGTATAATTAGGTTGCAGCTTACTGTGATTTGACTTCTTTTTTTTTTTTCAGAGTGAGAAGAGTGACAAGAAATGTAAGTTGTTATTTTAGTATTTGTGCTCTATTAGAAGTTAGTTTTCTTATATATATTGTCACAATAGACCAAGTATCTAAAATGCATGATAGAAATTCATGCATTGAGACATTTTAAAAACTATTTTCAATAGTAATGGGCCTGTATATTATATGATAGTTATGCATTTATGCATCACAAGATTAACTTGAGATTGCTGGTCATAAATATTTTGAAGTATTAAGTTATAAATTTGCCTGTTATATATACTAACTACTAATTACTACTTCTAACATTGTATGCAGTTACATGTTTGTAACTGGAGGATATGCTATGGCTGCTATACTTTATGTTCTCCTCACTCCTCACTCCAAACTCCACTGACTTTCCTTTCATTTCAATTTTCCGCTATATTTGTTTTTATTAATTTCATACAAAGGTCAAAATAGTATTTTATATATATATCTTCTCAAAATTGTTTGATTCTCTAGATATTTGTACTTGACGTTAATCTTAACTTACAGATAATTATGTTTTATGATAATAACATTTATTATGTAACAAGTATTTTTTGACATAATATTTTCTCACGTTAAACCTCAGCAGTTGTACCAATCGCATGTAAAAATTGTTATTCACAGAAAAACAAACAATATCATGTTGTTTGTGCTTGATTACTAGCCAATTTATTATTATATAATTCATGTTCTATGATTTTCTTTAGCCACTGCTTTCTCCTTTGTTGTTTTATTTCTTTAAATTAATTTTTTTTTTTACTAAGTTACTTTCATTCACTCATTCACACAAATTTTAAATTTGGTTTACACTGTTTTACCTCACTATTTTTATTTTCTATATATGCTATCATGTCACAAAACTATAGGATTCTAGCAGTAACAACTTGTAAGCTATAATATTTAATAATAGTGAACACATCAAATAGAGTGTAAATGCTAAATATAACAGTATTTTATACTAACTAACAATTCTATATATTGTGTTGCTTACAGTTAGTAAGTATTGAAAAGAGACAAAAACAGTCAAGTAACAGTGATTCTATTACTTTGCTTACCTCATATTTTCACTCAAATACCTTATAATTTTTTTTAATTCAAAGTTTATTATTTAAAAAAATGTTTATTTGTTGGCAAACATGACTATAATAGCAACAATCTTGAGAAGTTTTGTTTGTCTATTTTCAGTCCTTCTTGTACCTTTGTTCCATATGTAGGTTTATCTGTTTCATCTTGTTTTTGGTATATCTTGCAATTCATTTTTAATGCATAGTCAAACAATTTAGATTATTATGGTACTTATTTACATTCTATTCATTTTGTTACACCTCTTGGCTTTGCTTATGCTGTTGCTGCTCTACCTCTCTTCAAGTGTCTGGGGACTACTTTGTCTTCTTTGGTCTTCTTTTTGAGACTTCCTTATTCTCTGCCTTGTCATCTTCTAACTCTGTGAACTGAAGATGGATTTTTGATGGCATTATCTTGGTGACAATTTTCTGATGTCTCTCTCCCCCACTTCATTTGTCCCTTATGTTCTGTACCCTTTTTGGTTCTAAAATATTTTTCACTGAAGACGATGAATCTGAATCGACGGAGACATTCTCCTTAAGAACTAATCAACCTCTTGACCCTGCAACCCTTGCGAGCCCAGATCTCCTGTCAGACACACAAGATGTCAGAATGTCTGCTATCTTTACTCCAGATATCTATGAAGAAAGAGCTGAAACTAATAAATCGGAAGAAAGAGAATCTGTGGCCACTGTAGAACAGTTCAAAGACAGAGTAGAAAAGGCTGGTGAAATTAACAATCGGACGAATGTTAGTAAACTGAGAGGACAACAAATTGATGATATCAAAGATCAATTTTCACTCTATGGGACCAATGCCCTTGAAGAGCCAGTCATAAAGAACATTGACATTGAGAAACAAAGTTTAAGTAGATCTTACACAGATGTTAGAGACATCACATTGTTCTCCCCCCCTACCACACAGACAGAAAAATGCCTTGGCCAGAAATCTGCTAGGACATGTGGTTCTCAACAAGATCTTGTCCAAGATGGATTTGAACAGGTCATTGAAAAGCATGCAAACAAAAAACACCCACCAGATATCAAGAAACCTATTCGGAAAAAACTTAGAGACAGATCGCGTTCTGGATGTAGCAGTTCTGAGGGAGAGTTGGAAAGGATGAGCTCTGAGGAGTCTTTAGATGGTGATACTATTCTTAAAGAGAGTAGCCTTTTATCCACCCAAGTTGTCGAGCCACCAGCTTCTCCTTTGGTGGTTGAGACACCTATAGGATCAATAAAGGACAGGGTAAAAGCTTTACAGAACAAAGTTGAAGAGGAAGAAGTGCAAAAAAATACTCAAGTCTTTACATACGATGGAAAATCTTCTATTACCACAAAGAAAATGGAGGAAGCTATGCCAGAACTTCCCAGAGTTCCTAAGTCACCTAGATCTCAGACAGAAAGATTAGAGGAAACTATGTCAGTGAAGGACCTGATGAAAGCTTTCCAAACTGGGGAGGACCCGTCAAAGAGTAAATCTGGGCTTTTTGAACACCAATCCTTGCAGTCTTCTTGTATTTCCACATTGATTTCTGAATCACCAGGTTCGGAAACAGTGCATGATATAGAACAAAGACCTACACAGGAGCCAAAATCACAAATCCAAACTCAAAGGCCCACGAATTTCCATCAACAGAGTAGTGTCAAGAAAGGTGATCAAACAGACATCAAGGATGAACCAGCAAACTTAATCAGCTGTCAAGAATCACAGTTCACTTCAGACAGTGTTTATATTGAAAAGATGGTTACATTTAGTGATACTGTTCAACGAGATGATGAAAGTGTTAGCCCATTGCGAGAAGTATCAAACTTGTCAGAGAAGGAGGGATTCTCTGTGAAACATCTGATAAAAACATTCCAGACTGGGCAAGAAGATCAAAAAAGTAAAGCGGGACCTCATTCAACACTGATATTAGATTCTAATGATTCTGAAGAGAGAGAGACAACTGAACAAAGTCCTACACAGGAGCCAGAACCACAAAGCCAATCTCAGAGACCCACGGTTTTCCATTCAAAGAGTGACGCTGATGTACACAGCATCATAAAGACAGACACAGATGATCAATCACAAAGTTTAATCAAAACAGAACCACAGTTAATTTCAGACATTTCCCTGTTGAGAAAGACAGTTACGTTTGCTGACACAGTTCAGTATGATGCTGTTAGCCCACAGCAAGATGTGCCAGAGTTTTCAGAAAAGCAAAATATGTCTGTTAAGGAGCTGATGAAAACATTCCAGTCTGTAAAAGACCCCTCAAAAACTAAAGTGGAACTTTTTGAACACAAACCTGTGGCTTCCTCTATTTCAACATTAATATCCCATTCAGGAGATTCTGCAGAGATACAGAGTTCTGAACAAAGTCCTACAAAACAGATAAATACTCAAATCCAAAGTCAGACCCTCACAAATGCACATCAACAGAGTGATGCCAAGCAATATGACCAAGCAGAATTGGTTGCTCAACCAGTAACCTTAATCAAAAAGGAATCACAGATAATTTCAGATATTCCTTATGGAAAGTCACTAATATTTGTAGATACACTTCAGGGTGATCAATTATGTCTTAATAAGGGGCCAAAGATGTTACATAAAGATGCCATGTCTGTGAAGGAGCTGAGGAAAACATTTGAGTCTCAGAAAGACCCTTTGAAGAGTAAAGTTGGAGCACTAGAGTCAGAGTCAGGCATTAAGTGGAGTGAACACAGTCCCAGAAATGAGCCAAAATTGCAAACCCAAATGCAGAATATCACAACTTTCCGACCGCAGAGAGATGTGAAGGATTTAGACGCCCAAACTGGCCCTCTACAGAATCCTGAGAGTTCACAACAAATGTTAGATATTTCTTGTTTTGGAGAAACAGTAAAAAATGCTTATGGAATTCAGTTAGATGACAGAAGGGTTAGCTCTTGGAGTGATGATTCAGAGTTATCAAGAAGGATAATGCAACTCGAAGAACCGGCTATTAGAAAGAGTATATCTGATGATTCACAGATTAGCCCTGATCGCAGACCTTCTGAGGACTTTAGTGCTGACATAAAAGCTGAGCTGGAGGAATGTCCAAAGTACCAGCAGTTCAAGCAAACAGCTTCAGATGTCAGACATCAACTTGAGACACCTGAAGAGGAGAGCTTTGCTCAGGATTCTGATACTTATTTTGAGGAAGACATAAGTCCCAAGTATCTTGAGAGTCACAAACATAAAGGCATTGATAAATCCTCAGAGACTAGTGTTATTACAACATATCACTCCAGCACTGGTGAGAGAGACAGTTCTGAAGGACTCATGTCAGGACTGAGCAATGAAATCCATTCGTACTCTACTAAAGAAGATGGAATGTACATTATACCATCAGAGGAAGATCAAATCCAAGTAGAGATAAAAACATCTAGTCAGGCTGATGTAATTAGAGAGAAAGAACTCATGCCAACTTCAGTAACTGAGACTTCACTCCAGGAGGTTTGCATTGACAAAAAGGTACATCAGCAATCATATGAGCAATCCGCAAAACCAAAGAAGATGGCAGGGATGCTATCCCTGCTGAACAGTGACCTGGATCAGTACCTCAAGGACAAGCCAG